AACAACAAGAAATAATAACAATCAAATTAACAATTAAACAATTAAACTAACACAATTAACACAAATTAATAACAATTACATTTATTTAACAATTAAACTAACTAAATTAACAATTACAAATAAATTAACTAAATTAATAATTACCAATAACAATAACACAATTAACAAATAACACTAAATTAACTAAATAAACAATTAACACTAATCAATAACACAATTAACAAATGACACTAAATTAACTAAATTAACAATTAACACTAACCAATAACATAATTAACAATTAACACTAAATTAACAATTAACACTAACCAATAATACAATTAACACTTACACAATTAACAATTAACACTAACAATTATCATTAATATTAACAATTAAATTAACAAAATAAATTAACATCTAATTATGAAAAAAAATTAAAAAATTAATTAAAGAGTTAGATGAGGGAGGACCTTTCATCCACACAAGGAAATAGGGAGCCGCACCTGGTGGAGGAGCTTCGTCGGAGGTGGTTTAGCTGGAATCCCAAAGCTTGAAGAAAGGGGAAGAAAGAGAGAAAAAGAAGGAAAAATGGGAGAGAAAGGGGAGAGAGGGAAGGATGAGAGAGAGGAGGAGATTGGAAGCAAAATGGAGAAAGGGAAGATTTGATGGGAATTTTAGGCAAATCGAGTTGGAAGGTGGAGGAGAGGAAGAGAGGAAGAAGAGAAAATTTAGGAAAAAATATAAGCAGATTGGGTTTTTGAGGATTTTAATTTTAGTGACGGATCGAAGTCTCGTCTCTAAAACCATCGCTAATGGCTGAAAATAGTCGTTTCCCCTCTAATGGGAGGATTTTGGTGACGGTTCGGTCCATCGCTAAAATTGAAACTTCGCGATGATTTTTGGCTAAAAAACCATCGTAAAGTTGCTAATATTTTTTTCCTTAGTGATGGTTTACGTAAATCATCGCTAAAAATGATCTCTAAAATGATTTTTTTTAGTCCCTCGTAAAATTTCTTCATACCGTCACAAATTTCGTTAATTAGTGACGGTTTGTAGACCGTCGCTAAATGCCCCTAAAAAATCTCCTATTTTCTTGGTGTGCATGTTGATGCCATAGAATGATATTTAGGTTCGACAAAACTCGAGAGACCGTGGGTTACTTCTTAGTCTTCCTTGAAATAAGAGCTCCTTCTAAAAGGATACAAAAACTATAAATATATCGACAAGTCATCAATCATGCAACCCAATCTAAGTCTCAATATGTAGTCAATTGTAAATGAGTGTTGGACGAAAAGAGCAACCCCCGTCCTATTGTTCCTTTAATATACCGTAGTAACTTGAGAGTTGTTTGAAGTTGGGGTGCCCGAGGTGAGGCCATAAACCGACTAAAGATATGCACAATATAAGAGATGTCGAGCCGACTAATAGTCAAATAGATGAGTTGGCCTAATAATCGATGATAATGATTGAGGAATGAGGGCACCTATGCCACTCGTTTAATTTGAGATGTTGCTCCATCGAAATTGAGCTCGGCGTGTAGCCAAGCAGTCTTGCATCACTAAAAATATCAAGAGCATACTTTCATTGGATTAGGTGAATGCTTGATAAAGAGCAAGCAATTTCTAAACTAAGAAAATATTTAGTTGGTCCCAAATCTTTGATTTTAAAGGTAGAGTGAAGATGAGATTTGACATCATTGATAAAAAAAGAACCAGCTCTCGTGACAATGACATCTCAACATAAACAAAGAGAGCAATAAAGTCGAGCCATGAGTGAGAGTGGATAAAGAATAATCACATCAAGACTGTTTGTGATTACGGTGATGAAGATAATTTTTTAAACCATTATCGGCTAGCATATTTAAGTCCATATAAAGACTTGTTAAGTTTGCATACTTACAACTCCCCCTTAGTATAAAATCCCAATGGAGGTTGCATGTAAATATCCTTGTGCAAGTCACCATATAAGAATGAATTGTTTACGTTTAACTATAAGATTGGCTAGCCTTTGGAAGTTGCCATAGCCAAGAATGCACGAACGGTGATAAATTTGGTGACTAGTGTAAAAGTTCCCGATAATCGAGTCCTTCTATCTATGTATAGCTCTTTGCTACTAAACGAGCTTTGTACCATTCTAGTGATCCATCGATTTAAATTCCCGGTGCCATAATATCAACGAGTGCCTCCATCACCACCAATATACATATACACAATCATATATATATATATATATATATCCAAGCTCAACTAGTTAATCACAACTTGCATGACCAAGCTTTGGCTATTCCAAAACCTTAAAATGGCAATAAGATTGATTGGGCATAATTGATCCAACATTTACTAACAATAGTGATTAATGTGAACCATAATCACAAACAACAACACAACAAACCATATCTAAATTGGATAGATGCTCGCTCATCTTATCTCAAAAGATGTAAAAGTCAATTCTTTCAAACAATACTCAAAAGAAGATGATGCGTGCATGAGAGAACACATTTCAAAGTTTTTTTTTTATCAATGCAGAGACGATGCTTAAGAACCTTATCTATACCATAAGTTTTTTTTTTTTTTTTTTTATCATCTTTGACTAAAACAACGTTTCATTATTACACCTCCCGACCACTAAAACTCCATCCGAGTCTTGGCCCTAAATTTAGAATAAATTTCTTAAACAATTTTATCATACATAATCAAAATTCACCGACTCACTATTACTAACTTAGCCAACATCATCCAATAATCTAACGTAACTATCGATGCATATTGTCAAAGATTCAAAAATAAGAAGATAAAGTGCTTAGCCTTCTTGCTCGAAGCAGATTAAATTCAAATGGTTCTTAAGGAGAGAATTGGTTGATCTAAAAAAAATTATTAGTTAAAATTTTGAAGACATATGACCTCTAGGAATGCTTGCCAAAATAAGGAAAGTAAGGCTCGGATACTTCCATATAAGGTCCCTATGATCGATTTGCTTGGAGGAACCACATAAACTCTAGGCATTTTACCTATAGAACTATAGGTTCAAAAAAATTGCAAACAACCTTCTTCGAGGCAAAGGCAAGACATAGTTATAATGCTTTACACCAAAGAGTTTGTAGCCTAGTAGTAGTGGTCTCTTACAACAAAAGATCATGGGTTAAATTTTAATAGACTAATTCTACTAAGAGCCTTCTTTAAAAAGAAAAAAAATTACAAACAACATTCTTTAGGGTAAAGGCAAGACATAGTTGCAATGCTTTGCACCAAAAAAGTTTATAACCTAGTAGTAGTGGTCTCAAACAATAAGGGATCATAGGTTCAAATTCTAACAGATTAATTCGTTAAGAGCTTTGAGTATATGAGTTAAAAAAAAAAAAGTTACAACGTTTTGCTTGGTCGAGATTGGATCCATACTGGCATGCATGTACGTAGCATCTTCTTTACATGAGTAGTTGAGCTTTTCGCATTCGGATGGCATCACAAAAGTGTTCAAGGCCGATGCCAAACCTTTCGTTGTCATATCCATAATGGTTGATGCTTGACTTTTGATGAAGATATTAGAACTATTAAGTTTGTTGGATTGGATAATTTAGAACAACCGACTAACTTTACTATTTCAAAATCTATCGATAAATGCACAAATTAGTACATCATTTGCTATATCAAAAACTATAACTTTAAAAAGGACTTGGTTATGATGACCCTCAATGGAATTAATGTATCATTCAAGACTATTAACTAGGTGGTATTTGATAAAATTGAAACTTAAGTGTTAAATATGTTAAGTACCGAATTTTAGGTGTTGAATACTTAAGTACTCGAATATAATAAGATTGTTTGATAAATATCGTTATCGAATATATTATGACTATATACATCACAATTTTAACATTGCAATTGTAATATATATATATATGAGAGATCACTAATAATTAAAAGAGTCGGCTCCCCACTCGCATGTAATGCTCCGAGTGGAAAGGGAATTATATGTTTGACCCAAATCACATAAAAACATACGAAACCATTACGGAATGAGAAAAATCGAAACCCATATGATCCGAGACTAAAAAACATGTTCTTTCGACCACTCGCATTCCATTGCTCGGTATCCCGATGTTGAAAAAAATGGACATTGGTTGAAAACATCTTATTAAAGCAAAACCCACTAATTATTCGAAACAAATTCAACTCTATTCTTGTTAAAAAGCTACAAAATATCTTACCAATAATTTTAATATGTAGGAAGCATCCGGATCAATATCTAGGGGTGTTTGAAACCAAAATTGACGAGAAGAATCACTTTCTTTGATCTTGTAGTAATCTTGGTGTCATACTAAAAGGATAGACATGTTGAACCTCAAAACTAAGACCATTCAAAAATCAAACAAATCCATAGTTCAAATAAATATTTTACCTCAAGCCCATTAATCGGACAATGGTGAATGTAGCTAGACTTGTATTTATAAAAGATGTAGTTAGTAACAATTCCCTCAAGCACTAAAATCATACCTCTTATCCGATGTGCCATATTTTATAGTATTAGAACCCAGTTCATAAGGTGTAACCCAAGAGATTACTACAGACCTTCTTGTCATAATCGCCTCGAGTGGTGTGCACCCAATGATTAACAAACTAATCCGGTCATTCTTAACATCAACGAAAGCAAGGCAATAGGGATGATGGGATGGAAACACCGATAATAGAGAAGGTCTTCTCTATTTCAAGCAATGAGGATAATAAAGATCGTTTTTTAATCAGCTTGTTTAGCTAGAGTTATAATAATATATGAGGGATATATAGTCATATTTAAAAAGTTTTAAAAATCTTTCAACCGAGCGTACTAAGTAAAGTTTGAATGAATTTAAATTTTAAATATGAGATTATTTAGATTATTAAATAAACTTTTTATATTAAGTACTATAACTTAATTTTTGAAGCTACTTAAATCGATTATCAAACACATCCTTGTTTAACAACCATAACTAAGGCTTTAAATTACTCATTTTCGAATAAAATTTATTCAAGTAGAATTTCTATATGGAGAAGACATGGCTCTACCTCCATAGTCAATCCAAGATCTACGTACCTCCAGCACCATTAAAGATGGATGATGGAAAGGTAGAAGTTTAAGATCCTTTGTAAGAAGTTAACTTGGGATCGGACGATCAACCACGACCAACATTCATAACTTGAGCATGGTTATAAAATCTTATTAGTCTCTTTCTCAAATACAAGATGCCATTAAGGAAAGCATTATGGATATCAAGTTGTCTGATTGTCTAAGATTTGGTAACATCAATGGAGAGAATAGACCTAATGGTGGCATATTTTACCATAGGGATGAAGGTTTCTATGTAATCAACTCCTTATTGTTGGTGAAAACCGTTGGCCATAATTCCAGCTTTGTACCTCTATATGCTCCCATCAGCATGTTTCTTGGTACGATATACCCATTTGCAGCTAATGTTGTTATGCGCTTCTCGCGTTGAACTAATGACTAAGTGTCACTGGTTAATAAAGCATTGACCTCTGCTACCATAGCTTTTTGCCATTCAGGAAGCTATTTGGCTTGAGAGTAACACGTTGGATCAAGAGGAGGAGAGAAAGAAACAATAACAAAATGTGCTTTAGGGGGTCCCATTGAACGAAGCTGCATAGAGTTTTTTTTTACTGGATTGGTGATCAAAGGTTGCGGCTGCTGCAAACTGTAATTGTTGAGGTCAACAATGAGATTTAAACCTTCTTTGGCATTGGTATTGTCATGTGAAAGAGTAGGAAACAAGTGTTGGAGACATGAGGGGAGTGTTTGTGACAATTGGTGTTATATTTGGGCTGTTGGTCGAAAGTGGTGATTGGTTACTGTTGGACTGTGTTAAAGATATGTGCAGGACCTGTTGGGAATTAGTAGGTGTTTGTGAGCGTTCACACTAGAAGGAGACACATTATGTGTTTGATTTTGACTTGCATTGGTGGATCGATAGTGAGAACTAGTTGAATTTAGAGAGTGATAAGAGGTTTGGTTTGTAGAGGGAAGGGCAAGCCGTGTATAGTTGTAGTGGTTGCCTAGGAATGAATGTCTGTAGAGGATTGAGCCCGAGATGACCTATTTGAGGAGGAGAGGACACCATGGAATTTGTGTTAGAAAATGGTAAGGACTGTGAAAGGGATGGGTTAAAAGCAAAACTTGGAGGTAAAGACTTGAGGAAAGGCAAAATAGATTCAATAAATTGGACTTGCCATATATATATATATAGACTAAATCTGGATACTTGTAACCTAGATGGCTGGGACTATAATCAAGAAAAACACATTCAACAATTCGAAAATCCATTTTATATTTATTATAAGGTCTAATATGAGGGGAAAAAAAAAAAGAAACCCATACACCTTTAAAAATTTGTAATCTAGGCTAAGATTAAATAAAAATTCATAAGGATTTTTTTTTTAAAAAAAAATTATAGAAGAAGGCATTCAATTAATTAAAAATACAAGCATATCAAAAGTGAAATGCCAAAAATGAGGTGGTACCTTTGTCTTTCTTGTGAGTATGAGGCCAATTTCAGCAATATGATGATGTTGTCGTTTTATTGTCTCGCTTTGTTTATGAGTGTGGAAACAGATAATACGATAAATAATACCAAGTTGTTGAATGAATTTATAAAGAGCATAAAATTCTCTACCTTAATCCATTTGAACTTTTTTTTATTTTACAATGAAATTGTCGTTCTATCAAATATTGAAACTGAATAAAAACATTAAAGACATTATACTTCTTACAAATTGATAAAACTAATAAATTTAGAAAGTGATCAATAAAAATAGCATAGTGTCAATGACCATCAATAGCAGAGGTAGGTGATGATCCTCGTACATCATTAAAAATTAAATCTGAAATTGAAGTACTAAAATGTTTTGTAGAATTAAAAGATAACTTTTCTTAAAAGACAAAAAATACATGGATCATTAAAACAACCATCAATATTTGGTAAATTATTATTTTGAAAAATAGCTTGTATAACCCGACTATGTAGATGTCCCAATCGTGAATGTCGAATTTTAAAAGGCTTGAATTGAGAAAGCTTTTGATTTCGAATAACTTGACGTCACGAAAAAAACATACAAGTCATCTTTACTCAGTCCAGAGATAATTGATGTTTGCCGAACTTAATCCTTTAATCAAAAAGTAAAAAGGTGAAACTCTTAAAATAAATTATCTTTAGCTAGTTCTTTAACAAAGAGTAAAGGTTTAATAATGGATGGAACGTGCAATACATCCAGCAAATTTAAAACCCTAATTGGTGTATGAATGTGAGTGGTCTCAATATTTTAAATAAAACAAAAAACTCACCATTACATATTTGTAGCTGATCAGACCTTTGATAGATGTGACTTTTGATAAGGCTTGCTGTGACTCATGCTAGTTACATCAGGAGTGAGATGATGGGAAGCACCTGTGTCAGAACACTAAGCATACGGTTGATCGTTTTGATAGAAAGATGGATAGAGAACCAAGTTAGCTTCCAGATTCATAGGCTGAAACAATCTTTGTTAGTAGTGTAGGGCAATATGACCAAAAGAATTGCAAAGCTGACCGCGAGATCGAGAATCATTGTTTTGCTGATTCCAGTTTGATTGACTGTCATAGCTGGTGTTACGACCACTTCTATCATGCTAACAACCATGTTGCTATCCTCTGCCACGAGCAAAAAGTGTTCCAAAAGCACTGCCATGGTCAGAGTTGCTGCCACTGTTGTTGGGTGTTTGTTGGCTTAAATTTGCAATGGGATGGAGAGGAGCCGAAAGGAATGTTGGGAATAGGGATTGTTTGCAAAGACAATTTGGTTGGGCAAGTCCAGTTTCAGCAGAAAGGGTGTATGAAAGTGGACATTTGTTGCACCCATCTCTGAAACCAAATAAACCTTGACCCAGTAAGACGGGGTGCATTTGTGTTCGTTAAAAAGGAACATTAATAGTGGTTAATTTTATTAAAATAAAGTGGTGTGCATTAGAAAGATGTCTGATATGACGTGATGAACCTTGAGAAAGGGTCGAGTTTAGAAGGACTTGATCAGTTGCGGAAGAAGCTGGACTGTTGGAGGCCACTGGTGTAGTTTCACAAAGGCTGATAGCAGATTGAAACACAATATTGCATCGTTTTGAATAATCACTTACAAAACCGTAAGTATCGTTGCAGAAATATTACTCTGATACCAGATTGAAACACAATATTGTTTTGAATAGTCACTTACAAAACCGCAAGTAATGTTTCAGAAATATTGTATGTTATACCGTAAGTATTGTATATTTATAACGGTATATTACTCTTTGAGTAGAGTAGATAATACCAAGTAGAATTGAGTTACATGTATAACACTCAAAAGGCTAGAAATACTGAACAAGTTCTAATATTATCTACATGTGTTCTGTTTTACCAGAATTAGGTGTTGCAGCCGCTATCTCATAGTTGTAGCCGTTTCTAAGTCCCTCATGATCTGATCGATACTCCTTGGGAAGAGTTGGTGTTCTTTTGGAAAACTTTCGAAGTTACAAGTTCATGGATTTTTTTTGTTGGAAAAAGCTCCCCATCAAGCATACAGTTTACATTAGCCTAGTTGTTAAATGATTTTTAAGGCTTGAAAACAATTCATTGGACTGGGCCAATAACATATAGGTATGTGTATGGAATTGATGGATGATACTCGTACCTTGTTCAAGATCGCCATATCCTAAAATTTAGAATTTGACCAAAAACTTGATCCATCTCAGCACCTAATCCAAGTAACATACTTCTACACCAACGACTCAACTTTCAAAAGCGCAAATCCTAAGAATCAAGAATGTTGTTTGCAGTCCCTGAACTTTGGCTCCAAGTCAGATTGAAGTGTTTTAATGTCCAAATAAACCATACAGGTGGGGCAGGGGCATCACTTTCACACCCCTAGATGAGCGGTGTCATTTTCCCATGTGTAAAGCCCTGCCAGGCCCCAGCAGGACTTCGAAGCATTGAGTAGCCAAACATTTCTAACTATCAAAACTTGTAGATTACTCGAAAGCCATTCATAAATCGGAAAAAAAAAAAAAAAAAAAAAAGGCAGCAAGATTATCACGTATAATACTTGCGGAAACTAAAAATACCAAGACATGTTGATCAAGATAAGAGAATTCATCCGATAATTTGATAGTTATTCCCTTAAAAGAATCACAACATAAATGGCAAACATTGATTGAAGAAGGAAAAAACTACTCTACGTTTTTTTTCCTATTACTCGTCATCAGGAGCAGCTCCATCCTCATCCTCGTCCTGATCCACCTCATCATCAAGGAAATCCTCCATCTCTTCACTATCAAATTCATCCTCATCATCCTCTTCATCCTCATCACTAATCACTCTCCTCTTCCCATATGCCTCCACTCTACCCATCTTTCCAAACCCACCAAATCTCGAATTCAAAACCCCATTAACGTCACCGCCAAGACCGACATTAGACTGATCCCCAAGCATATTAAAGATGGGCTTCTGTTGTGGCTGTAATAGTGCTGGGTCAGAAATTAACTGAGTGGTGACGTTGTTAGACCCAACAAAAAGAGAGCCACGGAGTAGGTTAAGAGGGAACGACTTGCCGTTCTTGAACAGCATCATCCTGGCTGCTGGGGTTGCCATTTGAGAGGAGAGGAGAGGAAAGGAGAGGAGCGAGTAGAAAGAGTGTTTTGCTTGCTCTGTTTTGGAGGCGTAAGGGGTTTTAGGAGCTTTATATAATGGAGGGTTAAGAGTTTTAGGGCGGGGTGGTATGACCACGTGGCACTGGCAGCATGAGAAGGTTGGAGCCTGGAGGTAGTTGTAGAGACTTTGTTTTGGTGATGATTTGCCGAGGCCAAGTTGCCTCGCTACTAATTTTTTTTTTTTTTCTTTTCTGAGACGAAGGAATATTTTAGATTATTATCACTAGGTGTTTTAATGCAAATACATCGGACAATTGTATGTATTTTTCTTTTCTTTTTTAACCGAAAGAGGTTTTTACATATTTTGAAATTAATTCTTTTAACATGGTTAAAAGGACATTCTTCAATTTAGATTTTTTGAGAATATAATCTTATAAATGTTGATCATAAAAATTAAATTTTAGACCTTATTTATATGTCGACATTTACTAATTAACGACTACCACCTTATAGTTATCTAACTATATATATTTTAGGTAATTAAAAAGTAACTTCAAAGAATATCTATTTTGATAAAATTCAAGCAACAAATTAAACCAATTGAAGAATATCTATTTTTATAACTTCTTAAAAAAATAATAGATATAAAAATACAAACCTCAAATTTACTTTTAAATTATTTGAGTAATATTAATTTTGTATTTTAATATCAACTTTATCTTTTAAACTATTTTGAATTTTGAATTAAGAATTTTTGTTAGAATCATTAACAGACAACATTAAATTCTCTATAAAATCATTTTTCTTTAAAAAATTACAATTTAAATGATAATATAAACAGAAAGCCATGAAAAATGAATGGAAATTCTATAAATATTACTTGATAATTGCAGATATGTAATACAGCTTCCACAACCACATGAAAAAAAAAAAAAAAGGTGTAAGACTTAAAATTCCCTCAGTAAAAATATCATGATTTCACACCATAAAAGCATACATTAGTTCATTAGAATATATATTAAATTAGTCAAGTTTTTCAAACATATACTATATGTACCATTAGGTTTAAAATAAAAATAAATTAAATACATACCTCTTAATAGTCTAGATAATTTACATCGTTTGGTAAAACACTTATACCGATAACGTGTTGAAAAATAATAATAATCGCAAAAGATTGTTACGATATTGGTAAAAAGGATTAGAGAAAAGATAGAAAAATGATTTTACTATGAAATAAAGAGAATACAAGAAATAATAACTTCAAACAATTCTCTTAATCTCTACATAATACTTATATAGAAACTAATGAATCATCAAACCTATTTATAAATTTTAAAATTAGGAAGAGAATTGGAAAGAATTATGAATAATTAAAAGTATATAAATTGTTGAATCAATTATATCACTATTTTAATTTCTAATATTTAATTCGGAATTGAATCAAATTAAAAATAATGAGTAGTGTGGATATGAAATATACATGAACATTTATTATTTCATAACAATAATAAAGTTATTAAATAATTGAAACCTTAGTTTGATTTCGATGATAAATTAAATTAAATCAAATCTAACAATTTATTCGAAGACTAAAGACATAAAATTTTTAATATTTCAAAAACTAATAGCATTTTGACCAAATAAAATTCAGGAGTTTTGTTACGTTTTTTAATCTTACTTTCTTTAGATTTTGTTTCCCATTAGGATTGAAATAAGGTTGTGTCGTGGTTAATGCGGGGCTGTGTTCTTATCGTAATATTAAATTGCAGTAAAACAGGCAGTTGTAACTGTTATGTAACAATCACGATTATATCACGTGTAAATTTGAGGTGATTATTTATATTAATTAATTAATATAAAACTATTGATTATGAATAAATAATATATATTAAGAGAAAAATTAAACAAAAGTCAATTATATTATTGGTAAAGTATTCATCTTTTTTTTCTCTTTAATTCGATTTTTTTTAAGTTTTCTTAATTAGAATTGAATAAATATTAAGCAAATATTACATAAATTAAATTATTATTAAAGATTACGGTTGGTTTTCGAGAGTTAGAAATTACAAACTACCCAATATTAGAGCATCTCCAATGCTCTCTTTATATTAAGATTTTTCTTTATAATAAAGAGGTTTGATCTAAATTCTATCTCTAATGCTCTCTTTATCACAACCTCTATCTTTAAAATTGAGATAGAGAGTGTCTTTAGCTCTCCAATAGTAAAGAGTTCAAATAACTCTTTATGTTATATTTCATTAATGAAAATTATTATTTCCTATGTTACTCAACTCTATTCACCAATAAGTATCTCCGGGTTTTATGGATTTTGTCAAAATAAAGAGTTAAAGTAGAGAGTAGCATTAGAGAGGATATTGATCTTTAATCTATATAATTAATAGTATTCTCTATTTACATTTAAAAAACTAATTAAAAGTAAAAAACACCATTGGAGATGCTCTTAAAACTTAAAAATCCAGACTTCTTCTCAAGATCGCAGCATATACTTCGCAAATACTTGATCAATTCATCGTCTGACCCTATAGTCCACTGATACACCATTGCCTTTTCCCACAAAGATGGGGGAGAAAAAGAAAGTTTGGATTGCTTGTAAGACGAGAGATTGTTACGTACTCTGAATATAGATAGTGTCCTCAGCTCACATAAACGTGAGACCTACAAATAATTACTGTCATAATAGGAACTTTATGCGAATGAGAAACTTGGCTTAGCAAATCTACGATACTGTCAATATTAATTGATTTATTGTGCAGATAAGCATAAAACAAATAAATAGAAGCTTATGCAAAGTTTAACAAAAGGTAAGTTTCAGTTTCATTATCAAACAAAAAGGTTACAAATATAATTAATATAAATAGAAGCTTATGCAAAGTTCAACATGGGCAACTTTTTGCCCCCTTTGCCCTTCACCCACCCTCGTAACAAACGTATCATATCCTTGATGCAAAAGTAAAATCCGGTTTAAGAGTGACAAATGAAAGAGAAAAAAACAGATAATAATGTTACCGAGCTAGATTTCTTGTTGTAAGCACTCCCAGAACCAGCATCTCCTTCAAGATCACCAAGGAGCTATAAACAGCCAGCATTGAGTGCTTATCACAAGAATAGTTGATCAAGTTATGTAATATATTTCCAATTTCAGAAGTTCCCAAAAGAACCCAGCCAGAAACTCCAAGCAATCATTAATCACTAAAATCAATATCCTAATTCAACAACCACCAATTTCGAAAGTAATATTGAAAGCTGTCCCTTTGAGTATGGATCCATGAACAATAACTTTGAATAGTGTTAGCAGCCCAGTACCTAGCATTTCAACCTGATTGCATACTGCCAACACCATCTATACAATGTAACTGAATAATTAGAACTTTATAATCTCGTCCTTATCTACATCCATGTACAATTCGGAAAAATAAAAATAAACATCCTATCAAAATAACCATCTAGTTTTCCATAATTAAATTTTGGACTTCTCCTTATGAATCAGAAAACCTATGTTGCATGTCAAATATGTAAAGATGCTTTCCGTCAATTCCCAAAATTCATTACTCATCGATAACTCATTCATATTGCAGCATTGGGACTATTGCTTGATCGTTTATCCCCCTGTTTCCTGCTGTTTGAAATCTTTCAGTGTCCTGGACTCCAATTTGTGAAAACTGCTTCGCTAGCATATCAACATAGGCAGGTAAGGAGTCCTTAAAACTCTTTGAGCAGCTCTTATCACCCTCATCAACATCTTGAACCCCACCTTTGACCAGACACCCTACTTGAGCACCATCCATGTATGCTTTGCATGCCACCAGAATATCATTAGCACGCTTGTGGAAATGACCCAGTACAAAGTCCTCAAAATGCTGCAGCCAACCATGATTTGAATTGATTAGTTTTAGCACTCTAAAGGTAAGCAAGCCTTTTCACCAACTGAGAATTCCCATGCACGGTTAGCTAGAACAAATGACAAGCCTAATCTGGATTAGAATCACAGCAGTTGCATTATGATAATCATAGAAGCATCGTCACAAAATCACAACTGCAGATTTTTTTTTTATGTTAGGCCATCCATAACCTTAGACAACAAATTGATAAGAGTATTCTTTTACTTCCAAACAAACACACTGGGTCTAGGCACAAGTAAGATTTACCATTCAGACTCTTCTAGTTATTCATGGTAAAGGCCCCCCGCCTAAACTTCCACTGGTTTTCATTTTCAACATATTTTAAATGCACTAAAAACTTCTCCAATTAGCAGTTTAGTGGTGGAACATAGGAAAGTTCCTGTTTTTTCAATCATTTATGCTTCCCCTGAGATGGTTATCCAAATAATTCAGGTGCCAATTTAAACCAGCAAGAATCCATGACGCAAATAAACAGTTAAATAAACTTACCTTAGGTGGCCTCCTCATTGTGTAAACCATTGTTTTCAGTGACGAGCAAAAAGTACTCTCATTGTACTCCTGAGATCGTTTTTCACCATTTGCCGAACCACTCATTCGTTCATATCCAGGCTCATTAAAAAAGGGCTTTTGATTCAATATCAATGCTTGTATAGATACCAGAACTTGTAGCACAGTTGAGACACCAGGCTGCCACTTCTCATTCTTGTTGCCCTGCCATGTTCCAAGAAGGCTGAGGCATACCTTCCCACAACTGTACAAGTTTGGATTAAGTCGAAGACCACCAGAATGGTAGTCGACAAGCTAGCACAAACAAATCCAAAATTATGAGATGGAAAATTGAACAACAGGAAATGAAAAAATAATTCAAGTACAACATCTAACACATACCGGTGGTACTTTGGGGTAGCCAGCAGGAAAAAAACGTCAAAGAAAAAGAGACCATCGTGGTAGGGAGTACCCTCTGCTCCAATAATTACAGCCCTCAATAGGTCCATCCTTGTTTCATAAACCCTAACAAATATAGAATCTGTTGACATAATAGAACAAGACCAAACAAAATGTGAGAAATGAATTATGCAACGCTTGAAAATTTAAAACCTATTTAAATTATGAAGTTTCTCTTAACAGCAAAGTGAAGAAAAGGCTAAATGCTTAAGAGCATTAATGAAATGGAGGATGAGATAAAAAAAATTTTGTATGTGTGACATTTTATGTTAGTATACACATAAACATTGGTACAGTTTTTCAACTCAATTCTTGTGTCATACTTCATACTGTTCAGTTTACCCCTTGTGAATCTGAACATGTAAATCTTATGAAACCCACGAAGCGGATGGTGAGGAGGAGGTTCATTAGAAGAAGAAAAAAACAAAGACCAACATCCACTCAAACTTGCAATAGTAATTAGAGATCACAATCAGAGAGGTTAAAGCTCACCAGGTAAATCATTCTCCAGGATTCTCCACTCTTCCTGAATTCTCTTTGCCCAAGTCTTTGGTGGCTGCCAGAAAGAGTTGCTATAGCATTATACAAACAAATCATTGATAGAAAAATAAAAGAAAAAGAAACATGACCTGCATCTTCTAAGTAATCACCTGCTTCACAGAAGAACCTTTAGAAGTATAGTGATGATCTGAATGATCTTCAACTGTATCAAACTGCTTAAATAATTGAAACTTTCTGAGGATATCATCCTTGTTTACATTTTTTGGAGATCCAGCAGCACTGTCTTCAGGAGGGATATGTAAAGCATCAAACGGATCATAAAAATTTGAATGACTTGTATGGTTAGCAATTGAATGTTTGAATTTCGACGCAAACGAAGACATGGAAGGGCCAATAATAGGAAAATGGTCCAATCCACCCATAAATGAAGGACCTGGATAAAATACAGGAGCAGGATTGATATGTCCCGAATGTGCTGGCCCGAGTCCATGAGGAGGCTTAACACTGTCCAAGTGCTTTGCATGGTCATAATCAGTTGAACTACTTGGAGCACCCAGCTTTTTTTTACTATGGGAAGGTGCAAAATTTGAGGCACTCCCCCATGTTGTGAAACATCTTGTTCTTTCTTACTTTGAGCAGTTTGGGGAAGTGACCAAGGAGAGGACAGGTTCATTCCAGAAGCATGACTCATGGAATCCACTGGGTTATGAAAACTTGAACCACTCACTGAATTCGGCTTGATTGCATGGGCAGGCTTCAATGACCATGAACCACCACCATTAGATTGCATTTCATTGCTTGTATTAAAAGAATTAGTTCCATTAGCAGATTTATTTGCATTATTATCAGAATTCGGCAACCAAGGAATGGGTGCCTCCACTCCAGGAGGAATATCCACTTTGTCAAAATGGGATTGCAAAAATGAATACTCATCAAAATCCATGAAGTCATCAGAATAAAAATCCATATATGCGCCATCATCGTACAATGAATCAGAATCAAGACCATCCACGTTGATTATATTATTTGCTCCAGGGGAAGGACTGAAAAGATGATTGGAAATACCATCCTAAAAAGAAAAGCAAAAAATATCAATGAGAAGAAACATCATATATTAGGTCCAACAGGTGTACATTGTAAAAACTAATATATACCTTGGCTTGACTATAGCCATCAGAATTATCTTTTATAGATTTCCCTTTGTCCTTTATGTCATATTTCTGGTCAAGAATCATCACATCAACTGAATCTTCATCCTTGTCAATATCAATTATTTCATGAAGAATAACCTACAAAAAAAATATTCCTTTTACAATTACAGTGCATGAACTGATGGGAGAGAGAGGAAAATAAAGGGAATAAAGGAGGGAAATTTAATGCCTTTTCTTTGGGAGTTAGGATGAAAAAGGAAAATTTCCTAATATTATCCACAAGAGATAAAAACAACTTATATATTGATGAGAATGCAATGGAAAAAAAAATATATAATTTATTAATTGCACTTCTCTTTTCCACTCATGCAACTCAACAAGAAAAATTTATTTAATGAAGAAGTTCGATTTCATTTCTTTGCTTTTCCTCTCATTTTCTTTGCATTATTTGACTTGTTTCCCTTTGCAGATATAGATATCCTAAATAGTGTCAGAATATCTGTTGAAGGCAAAAAAAGAAGGAAAAAAAGGAACCACGGAAAGACATCAACGTGATTTAGTAAACAGCAAATGAGAAAGCATAGTTAACAATGCAGAGTGTATTTTTGATATATTTCTTACACAAAACTTAAGAGGCTGGAAAAAACAACTAAGACACTATATTTACAATAAGAACCTGACAGCAAATTAAATTGAAAACCAAATAGGCAGGTGTTATATTCCTGCTACCTAAACCATTTATCTCAAAGCATGTAAGGAAGTACAGAGTCGTTCTACTCTTACCCTGGAGTAGATAAATCTATTGAAGCAGGGCTAAAATAGGCTTACTGTGGTAAATTACTCAAAAAAATTGACAGCAGCACTCTTCATTGGTACTGTAGCAGCAGCATTGCAGTAAAATTTTCAGGCTTGTTGTAAGGATTAAGAGTACTTAGGTTAAATGTACGGAACAAATTAGGTTAAATGTAGATTATGTGTGTTCTTGGGTTACTAAGGTTTAGCGTCTTACAAGTACATACCATATCAAAGCTGTAGTTGTGTGTGTGAGTGTGTATATACACGCGCACACACACACACACACACAGAAGAAGTTGACTTTCTTTCAAATAAAAGAATGTATAATAATAGAATCAGAGTTGGCTTTTCAAGTATATCATGAACTTAGAATTTGAATAACTAAAGTGTTTAACAAGGAAAGAGGTATTATATTTGTTTTCCTCTGGACACCTCAAGTTTCAATGGAACACCCAAACATATCCATGGCTCTATGCCTCATTGCATTCCAATACACAGCAATTGATGCTCAAGCCAAAGACAGTTCATAACTCTGCATCATACAAGATTACACAAATTAAAAGAGAATAAAAAACAATTGGTGTGATTCCACCAGAAACTACATAAACTGGAAGGTCGTATTTATTGACTCCTTTCAAAACACCCTTAAATCATAGAAATTTGTTTGAGACAACCTCCCAGTGAAAGTAAACCAATTATTAATAGCAGCTGCAAAGTCTGTAAGGTTGTTTGCAACAATAAATTAAACTATAGGATGGAAAAGGAGAAATTGGATGAAACCCTACAAAAAAGGGAATTAGAGAACCATGACCAAACACCATAAAAGAGCACCAAACTCGAATATAGTTCCAACCTTAAGATCTTACAGCTCAATTTATTAAGCCCAACTAGTTGGTCTCTCCTTTATCTTTTCTCTCTAGTAGGAGTAAGGAAGTAGTCCTCTTAGTTTGAAATCTGGGGCCTACAAGACTTAGAACTGAGAATCTTTTGTATTTCCTTGATTTTGGGCAGCTGTAAGAGGGCATAAGCGCAATTACAAAGACAAGGACCACTGGAGGCGTGTCTTCATTTCCATTCCTGCAGCCATTGGTTCACGAAGGGGGAAAAACGTGGCTTTGGAAGACTTGTACCAAATGGCTAACATCTCCCCTTCTAGGGCTCTTCCTCTTTTGCTTCATGAGGGGGGAAGATGCTTCCCACAAGGCTTTGCTTGTTGGCAAACAAGGTTCTTACTAAAATAAAACAATGAAATCATGGCATAACTCGTTTTTCAATGTAGAATGTGAAATAGTTCATATGTTAGTAATAAGTCAGACTTATATTTGTGCATTCTTAATCCTAATCAGCCTCAAACACTTTCCTAAATTGCGCTCATTAATTCTAACATAATCCCACCTAGTTTCATCTATCAAACCCATCCATTAACTAACCATTTTAACTCCAAAAGCATCACATTACCAGAAAAGAGTTGTGCTTGAGATGGCTACTTAACGATCCTAAGTCCTGACACGCTTGGAATAGGTCAAATGCTACTCAAAACATTTTGAGGAAAAAATAAAAAAAAGTCCAAACAATTGAAAGCAAAGCAGCCCACGTTTCTCACAAATGCAAGTTTAAAATAAGTTAATCATTTCTTCTCTCCAAAAATAGCTAACTGTTAGCATTATTATCTCATCCAAACACAGTCATTCTCACTGGCAAAGGCTCAAAAGCCGCACCTATTAGTATAGGGCTCCAAAAGCTCAGCCCTTTTTCCCATTACCACAAATTTTACTTCGAAAACCACCTTTGGAGGTCGTATGTGATTCAAATAGCTCAAACAATACACTCTCCAATCAATTCCATGTAAAAACATACGATAACAGATAGGGAAAAATTGTAATTTGCCAAACTATTTGTAGCATTACCACCAAATGGTAGCAATAACACCATCTAATACGAGAATTTGAAGGCCAAACTAAAATTCTAGAAAGAACAGCTTAAACTCAATGTCAAAAAGCTACAGAGACACTTGCATTGTCTTTTATCCACTTGAGCCATCACTCACAATACTTCAAAAAAATATAAATAAATAAATAAAATTAAAAAACCCATGATTGCAAACCAAATCAGAACGCTATCAATTCTATGTATTAATCAACAATCAACTACTTTCGACTCTACACACAGTAAAATTGAGCTTGACAAGAAACAACAGAACACAGAAAAAAATGAACAAACCAAAATTAAAACAATCAACAAAAAGACACCAACTTCAACAATCAAAGGAACATCATACACCCAGAAAAAAAAATTGAACTATAAAAAAAAAAAAAATCATGATCAAAATAAATGAATAAAAGAAAAAAAAAGAACTCAAAATTGAATAAAGCTAGAAAAATTTTTTTTTATAAGAACCTGTTTGTTTTTAGATTGTTTACTAGTGTGAGAGCGAGAAACAATCGGAGTTGGAGGAGGTGGGATTTCGATCACGTCAGGGTCCATGAACACTCTCTTTTTCCTGTTTGGTTAGTGATAAAGTGTGTGAAAAAAAAAAAAAAACGGAATTTCATTCCAATCCAAGAAAAGATAAAAAAAAGACAGAATCTTCAGAGAGAAAGAGAGAGAAGAGACCTAGAATTCAGAGGGATGTGTAACGGCTGCGGCGGCTTCATTGGTGATGATGATGATGATCGGCTTGTGGAACAATCAAGAAAAATGGAATGAGGTGCGGCTTGGCTCGGTGGCTTGTTTACCAGAACTAGTGAAGTGGTTCAGTTTTGGCGTTTTTAAGGCTTCGCGCCTAGCATGTGGGTACACATAGAGAGATAGATAGGCAACAAAAGCGTAGCGTTGCTAATCCTTACGTCTCTTTTAATTTATAGTCTTAAATATTTGAGTATTTAATTCCCATTTTATACTGATTAGATTAATTATGATCATGTCGCTTGGGTTTACTACTTGTGTGCCACCTACGTTTTTGGTGCTACAAAATATTTTAGTGGCTTCTTATCTTCTGCACTCCCTTCTATTTTCTTATATTGCTTTCCAACTTCGTCCCAAAACTATACATCATGTATTCAATTCAGTCCTTAAGATTTACTTCTCTTTTTGAGAGCGTCTTCCTCAAGAGTTTATTTATCCTGTATCGGTTTCAGGTACAAATATTTACTTCTATTTTTTTTTTTTTGAGAGTGTTAATTTATTTATTAGCTTTTTTTGAAAATATAATATGTGTTATTTCAGCATCGTGGCGCTTGCTACTCGAATATTAGCTCGAGGCATATCATTAATTCTTCGAGCCTAAAACTAATGGCAACCCTCGTATTTATTTATTTATTCTACTTTTTATTATTATTTCTCATTATCTTTTAGATTTATTTTTGTAATCAACTATGTTTCGCTCTTATTTTATATGAATTCTGATTAAAATATAAATATATTATTTGGAAAAGATTTAGCCTTTTTTTATTAAAATGTATATGACAATCTTAAATACAAGGCTATTATTGAAACTTAATAAACCTTACAAAAAATTAATTAAGAAATAATGAAAATAATTTCAACAAAAATCTTAACTATTGTTTGTGAAATTGAAAAAGAGAAGGCTAAGAAATGCTTCATTCTAATGGAACTAATTTCAACAGAGGTCTTCACCGTTGGAATCCTGCCGTCATTAAAATTGAAATCACTTGATCGTAAAAAAACATGCGAATCAATCCAATAAGAATATTGTTTAAGTAACGTAGCAATATCTACAGGAGCTTGTAGAACAAATATCATGAAACGGCCTGTAGAGAAGCCGAACCCAACCAATCCAAAACACATCAACGAAGCTTTCGGAAAGAGCGATGATCTGGTTAAAAGGAATGTTGACCTGCTTCATCTCCTATCAGCCGTTGGATTACCTATACTATTGCATCAATGGCTAGATCAAACAAAGAGTAGGACACACCGCTTTTCCAATGGACTTGTGGGATTTGTCGCCTAAAAGTTTTCCACGTCTTCTTGGAGAAGGGAAAGAAGTCTAATATGGGGCCTACTTCTGCATGGACGCCGAATAAGATTAAATTTTGGATAAAGTCAGTGCTTTTTCACTTTTTAGTGGTGATTTTTTTTTTCAATTATTGCATGATAATTTTTTTTTATCGGCCCAAAGAAATGAAATAAAGTTTCAATCCCACTTGGAACAAACCCTGTTAGAGGCCCAAAAGTCTTTGGCGTTTAAAACTTTCCTTTTCTTTTTAAAATCAAATAAAATACTAAAAAAAAAAAAAATTAGGGAAAGTTCAGAACGGATCACTTGGTTTTCTCTATTAGCACTGTGAATTTCAAATTTGGGATTTCAGTAGGCCCAACAGAAGATGACATAATAAGTTGTACAGAGTTCATAAGTCATATAGGATACAATAAACTGCACTATGTTTGGTGCAAAATTTGATAAGCATGTTTGGGGTTAAAGAGTCTATTATTAGACATCTTGTTAGCAAAAATGAGAAAATTTTACAAAGTAAAACAGAATCTTTGTATTTACGGTGAAACCATTTGCCATATTACATTGATCTAATTTGCTTCTTCTTTAACTATTTTCTATTAATTCTCTAACTCAAAGTCGAAACAAAAAGGAAAAACGTCCAAACCACATTCCGTGGAGAGCAAGTCACACTTCATTACAACTTCTAGCAAACCAAAGTAGAAGAATAATTTATAACAGCGAAAACAGATAGGAAAAAAAATAGGACAACAAAAGGAAAAAAGATAAAAAGATAAAAAAACAAAGATAAGAAGAAAAATGGTAAAAGAAAACTAGAGCTTAAGAGAATTTTAGAACAACAAAGAAGACAGTAAAGAAGGTTTGTAGCTGGCTGCTAGCCTTGAATTGGCCGGCAGCAGCCCCTAAATTAAGCTAAAGGGATGAAAGGTTTTTTTTATATATGTATATATAACTAATGAAATGCCTAAGATGAAAATGAAGGCTATTAATTTAAAGTAATGAAATTACTTTTCAACAATTAAGGGAAAAAAATTATGCGGATGAAAAGATCTCATCCGATAAAAAAATGCCTTTGTTTGAGAATTAAGTTTAAAAATACAAAATAAAAATTTTAAAATGTATTAATTTGGGGGAAAAAAAATTGTTAGATCAATAACCAGAGGCAAAATGATAATATGTCAACATGATTTTACATAAACTATGATAGTTGTATATTAATAAAATGATATCAAAACCCTTATATTGCTTATACCTTCCCTCTTATATTAGAGCAGAGGACAAAGGCAGCTGATGGGTGCATCGTTGCTTCAGTCATATGTGACGCATCCACCTGCACATAATTTATTTTCCTTTTCTATTAAGATATAGGAAACCTTGATAAATTTGTGAAACTTGAAATCTTTATAGACTACGCCTAAAAATACTAAAATATATATCAATACCAATATCCAAATTCAACTATATATCTAATTAAGAAAAAGACTAAAATATTAATATAATTTTAAAAAATTAGGTTAATCCTTTTAACCATTATATGTCTATTTACACATTATTTAAAACCTTAAATAATATAAAAACAACATTCTTAATTAATATATAAAATAAACTTTTTAATTCACCTCTAACACATATAGTATCTTATTGGCACTTTATTTTGACTATTAAAACTTTAAAAATGGTTATAAATAGTTCAACAAAAGCCAATCATTAAAATTTTAAAAAATAAAATAAAGACATATAAAAAATAGCAATACGATTCTTAAAACTTATGCCCGTACTTTTAATTTTTGTTTACCAAATATAATTAAAATTTAACATATAAAAATACAGCAAAATTCAACAAATTATTAAATTGATTTTTTATAAGAGACCTTTTTTTATAATGTAATATTTGACAAATTCTACCATCTTCATGATAGCTAGTCATGTATGGCCACACAATGAGTGTTTAGTGGGCCGATGTCTTCCAGTTAGTTGAACATGTGGTATCACGATTTAAGGAATAGCTTGGAATAGTCCACCTACAAAAAGTAGTTGGGTGATGTCGTTGAAGGCTTGGACAAATACAACATTGTTATCTTAGAAGATTTTAAAGACTTCTTGTTGTTCTTGTCATAGTATGAATTTAGTATCTTGGGAAATCTTAAAGACTTCGGTCATGGTCTAAAGTAATGGATGTATAACAATCACGATAGGAGTCTAAGTAACGGATTAGGGCAGGCTACCTCCTAATAGTGCTAATAAGCCGGCATTGCTAATTTGGAGGTTTCGAGGATTCTTATCATTCTCGGTTTTAAGTAAGTTGGTGTTGTTAGCATTGTTATTAAGATCGGACAATGTATCATCATTATTGAAGGGTTAAGTTAATTGCACAATTGGTATTTTTCTTGATGGTTTTGGAAATGACCATTATTCTTTCATAATCACCGATTCTTTAGTAGAGTCACCAAAATGTTTCGGAGGTTATTAAGAACTAATCAAACGATTGGTCAATAGACCAATCAAATTATAGAGAGTTAATATTGTAACTTGTAAAAATAATCGGTTAACCAACCATGCAAGATGGGTGCAAATTATGAAAGGCATGAGAGGAGAAATATGCAATAATAGTAATGTCTAAGTAAAATGGTAGACATTGGATGGTCAAAATCCAAACGTATAGAGTTTTAGGTGACGTCTAGTATGTGAGTGAGAGAATTTTGAGAGAGAAAAGAAACGAGTTTAGAGGTTTTACTAAAGTTTAAAAAGTTAGAATCCCCTCATAAAGATGTGAGGTTATTATTTTTAGTGAAATAAGAATGACATTTGACTCGTTAGAATCGTGCTACATCATTTATTTTTGGACGAGTCGGACTTGAGTTGAAAAAACTAATTTTTTTAGACTAAACTCGCTTTAATTTGCTTGTAAAAGTTAAAGAACAAAAAATTAGGATTTTTTTAACGAATTATGACTAAGCCCACCAAACTAATCCATGAATGAACACTCATCCTATTATAATACTAGTATTCATCGTTATACGGTTCAAAGTCTTGTTACGGACGAAGTTAAAAAATTCTTCATTAATTTTTTATAGACAATTTGAGCAAAAATACAATATCTATCTATCCATATCTCTTACCTTCTTTGTTTTTTTTACCTTTTCATTACAAAACTTTTGTTTTTTTTTTCTATATTGTTTAACTAAATAGTATGAAATTTTTGTTGTAACTCGTAAACTTACTAATGTATTATGATGATAATAGGAGGGCAACTCGAAGTTGTACTTGCATAGTCCGATCCTTTGAGTCTAGGAAGGTCGAGTCCAAAGATATTATTAACAATTAAATGTTTTAGAAAATAAAATAATATGTGTGTGTGTGCATATATATATACATTGTAATGAAGAAAACAACATTGCTTTAACAATCAAAATAAAAGTCACATTCGATAAAAAAAAAAAAAAGAAGTCACAATTTAAATTGGTTTTAGTTCAACCATATTTGAATTTCGAACTTAATCCAATAAAAAAACATGAAAGATTTTGAATTTGAGTATTGCAAAAAATTATGGGTTAATGGTTGCAAAGGTCCCCGTATTTTTTTTTTTAATCTTTATCGTGTCTTTTTATTTTTCTCATCTTAAGTTCATCCCCCTAAATTTAGTTTATGTCTTAATCTTGTTCTTTCGTTAACTTTTGGACT